AAATTTCTCAAGCAGGTGGATTTTCTTAAACAATTTCCCCTTAAAAGGACTGTGTAAAAGGTTCGTGACACTTTCTCAACGCGAATCCGAATTCATGAATAAAAACAACATGTGTGTAAAAATTTTTATATGGTGTGGCATTCGCTGGCAAAGGGGGTGGGGGTGGGGGTGGGGGGGGGGGGGGGGGGGTATGCTTCTCAGGGTTTAACATAGCTCTACAGACAAACCAACATTACTACAACACACGCGTCCAGTCCAAAAGTCAGATGGAGAGGGTTATGTCTGATTAAGTATCATGAGTCATGTATAGGTATATCTACACGATATGTTATCATTTCACACACACTGCCCTAGCCTTGCTCCAAGGCTGTACTGAAAGATGAGTCCAATTATGTGTAGTAATTCTATCCTCCCAACAGACAAGTCCTTATATGTGGACACTACACTCCACGTGTTCTTATTATTTACATAATCTAGAACTTATAAATTTAACTAATAATTATTTCCTTAGAGACTTGTGCAAGTCTAATACTGCTCTTGTTATTCTAAGTCTGAGTGTTTATGTAGAGGATATTTCATTACTCCATATGACACAGGCGTTCTCCTTCTGTAACCATACGCGGAGTTACAAACAGTGTTATCTTTTGTGGCCTTTTAGAAGCCAGATTGACCTCTGGTGCCCTATTCCAGCGGCTTAAATTGGAATATATAGTAAACACGTGAATGTGTTTACATTTGATATTTGATATATTCTTGGGAAAAGAATGTATATTTGAAAATATACAGGATACACGATTTATTGCGCAAACGTTTCATGTAGAAAGTGACTATGTTCTATAACTATATAAACAGATACATAACAGGAACCAGTACAATTATGTTATATTATGACCAAGGATTATCTATAATAATTACTTCGGATTTATTTGAAGTTTTATACATGATTTGATGTTACCTGGTTCATTATTTTAAAAAAGTAGACTAAATATTTCTGTGAGGTTAAGGCTTTCAAAATACATATTTTTTTAAGTACAGGGGATTAAACAGGGAGTATATTATAACACGTTCCAATATTAGCCATTTTCAGCACATATGTCTCCAAATGTAATTATATTTTGACCTCACTGCAATGTCAGCTAATTGCAATAGTAACTACTGCTAGTTAATACGTTACAGTAGGTAAAATGACATTTTTTCGAAGGACGTTCATAATGTTTCTGTTATATATTGCAGATATGTTTCAACATGATCACATGATATTATTTCAGACTTTGAAACACTAGCTGTAACCATGTCTACGATGTTGAAGCATGATAATAGTTTATGGTGTCAGTGTTGATCAAGTAGTAGGTCAGAGAAGCAAAGGAACTGCTATGTTTACAGGAAGCCATCTTGTGTGTGTTTTCACAGCTCTGACCAAAGGTCACGGGGTCGTGTCAGACAGAGTCGTATAAAACAAACACTCGCACATAGAACCTCTCTTCATCCCCAGCAACCCTACATAGACTTGCTGAGGCTACATGCAAATACTGGCATTGACGTGTAGAGTCTCCTTGAATTTTGGGCATCCCTACATAGACTTACTGAGGCTCCATGCAATTACTGGTACAATGGGCCTCTCTGCAATGGCGGATCTAGTATTTTTAACGGGTGGGGTCCAAAATATCAAAATCATCACTTCAAGTTTTCAAAGGGGGAAGGAGGGATCCGCTTATGCTCTGCATATTGATACAGCTTGTAATATCGACCGAGGTTTTATGCAGATGCTAGACGCAGATACGTAGAGCCTTTGTAATTTCTTAAGACAACCTCACATAGATGTCCTGAGATTGAGAGCAAAACCTTGCACATTTTAGAACTGACTTATATATACGGGGATTTACACAGTGTCCACTCCTTGTTTTAGGTTTCATCATCCAGAAAGGCAAAAGAAACATTGAAGTCAATTCTTACAAACAAATGTCAACAATTATAACTTCCCAGGCAGTTTTTTAATCATTAACATAAATAATTATAAACAACTGTACCAAATCAGTGATATGGTCCAGCGCAATTAAACCCTAAAATAGCCCGATAGTGGGCGTGGTATAATTGTTGTTGATTTGTGGAAACTTAACACCCAAACATTACTTAGTTAGCCAATCAAATGCCTTGGGACAACCTTAAATCAGTTTATTTATATAGCCTTGTTGATCATTTCCGAATTGAGTCTGGTGTTATGGCTTTTGTTAAATGCATTTTAATATTAACCATTTCCGTTTAAAGACACGATCCACTGAATGAGACGACTGCATGGTTTTAAGGGTATGCCTTGTAAGACATTTGTGTCTTTAGTCTTTGCGAAACATAGGTGCTGAATAGCTAAGCTAAGATGAGATATGAATATTGCACTCTCACATGCAACACTTCCGCCACTGCTGTAATAGACCACCCTGTACCTATGGGCGAAGGATGCTCATAGCTTGTTTACATAATACAGTGCCGTATATGCCGTGTTTTCCCCAACACCAATCTACGGTTATCCATTCATATAAGGCATCGCGGGTTTCTCTTTCAACTGCCACAGTCCGCCTCCTTCAGCTCAACAGGCACGAAAAGCCCCATAACAAGATCCAGATGGCCGCCGTCACGTGATCCGCACATATGCGCAGAACCATGACGTCACCAGTCTTTGTGTAGAATCACCTATTTAACCCCCATATGCTATCATAAAGCCACGTCGCATGTATGACCATCTTTAACGCCACGATAGGTGTTTGTAACTATATGCCGACTCGTTATGAAAAGCCACGGTTTGATGAGAAACTATATGTGAGCTATAGAACAAAAGCCTTCTTTCGAGATGAGGATGCATTTTAAAATGGGATTAAATGGAAGACTGTCATTTGCATTACCTGACAGAAAGGGTTAATGTTTTCCACGCACAAAACACAAAGAAAAGCTGTTTCCAAAAATGAACAGCAATTTCCCACGAAGATGTAATTTATATTTATTTATGTGAATATAAATCGTCAACGACGGAGAAGAATCAGTCTCGATTATCTGCCAAACCAGATTCCATTGGACGAAAAAGCAAAATAGTTGTGAAAATGATATGAATGGATAACTGAAAATTAGTAGTGACACCAGGTGCTCGTCCAAAGTAGCTTGATGAATGAAGATTTTACCTCAAATGTACAAACACCATATGAGTTCAGGTTTGAAACGTTCATACAATTGCCAATTTAAGCAGCTCAGTTTTTGGCACACATGCACCATGTACTTGTATACTCCCTAGGGAGCTGATCCATTAACCTGGGTAATAATGTTGTAGTACAATGAACAAATGGACTTTGGCGCTAATGAAATGTACTCGAGATAAACTTTCGTGATAACTCTAATCCCATTTATTTCGAAATAACTAGAGGTTGTATAGTTTCAACAGAATGATACTCCCTTTTTTAGAGGACCTATACTGTTAAAGCATCGGGAGACAACAATCAGAAACGCGTCCATATTTAAGTACTTCCTGGTGTACAATGCCCCTCCTGAAATAAGATCAGGAACTCTTATTACGCATCCTTTGTTAAGCGTTATCAGTGAAAGCGGATACTTCGTAAATGTGCCCAACTCTTCAATTCTCACAATATGTACAAGAATTAGTTGGCTGGCACATGGTCAAAGAGGACTATTACAACCAGCAGCAGTTACCTACCCTACGTATTGGTGAAGTAAACCTAACTCACTCACCCTTCCCGAGTAGCAATTGCAATAATAAATCGTATCGTAATGTTATCGTACCCCGACGGGTGACAGATTGATATTACATAGATAAAATATAATATACGTATATGATTTCTAGATATGACTCCATTTGTACAATTCCGTATATGCTCCAAGACCCTTAAAAAAAGTGTTAATAATAACCCAAATCAAGCCTAAAATGATTTGCTAGGTCTAGATTGCTTCAACTAGGCATTGTTCTGGGCTTCATTTGGATTATAATTTTTATTTTGTAGATATATATTTCCAATAAAATAACTTTATTTCTGTGACGAAGTGTCAGTCGACATACAGTACATGTATTAACATGTACTTTGTAAAAAAGGGGCACTTGCTTTTTCAAATAAAACTGCGTTTAAACCATGTACGTGAAGCTGAAATAGTATTGGTTGTCACCTAAAAGAACATTCACTCACTCACTCACTCACTCACTCACTCAATCTGAAAAGAAATGCCATTAGGAATTCTCCTGATCTACTAAATTCGGTTCCTACTATTATATCGATATATTAAACAAACAGTAGTATACTGATCGGGAAAGCAACATAGCAACAAAGGATCGACTGACTTTATTGATGGTACGTTCAGAAAAGAAGAAGTTTTCATTTAAAGCCTTAACTGGCAAGGATGATATTTGAGTGCTATGTATGAGAGGATACGGATCATGATAGACCTTGTCATAAGTATAAGTGGAATAGGAGTAGGGAGGAACAGAACGATGCGGGATGTAATGTAACCTCGACCTCTATTGACGAGGTTCATCTCACCGATGGCGCGCTTATTTCGCGGTCTTCTCAATGGGTTTTGTTGTATCTACAGCTTTTATATTCCAACCGGAAACCAACCACAGTTCCAAGCTCAGGACCCAGGGGGTATGTGTTGAAAATATGATGGGATACCTTCAGACAGTGTGTTAGAAGACGGCCTTTGGTATTACTTGCTACTGCGACAGTACCTAGATACTTCTGGTTCAATTGTCAGTGTGTTGGGTTTAACGCCGCCGCTTTAAGCTGCACTTGTGTCGTGTCGTTTTGTGTAAGATAAAAGCGTGAGCTAGCAAATCGTGGTTGCTTGTCACCTTGATGAAACCATAGGAACAGGAAAAGATCATCAGTGCGGATCTTGGATTCAAACCCAGAAAACAGTTGACCCTGGTAACGCTAATGGATGAAAGGCTGCGAAATACAGCGAGATCATTGAATTGAGTTCGAAATTTATATTTTCTTCTTTCGTTGCAGCCATCACCGCTGTAGCTCCCCAGAGACCTCGCGTAAGAGGAACCACAGGGGCGAGAAGCGATGGGACAACCACTATCATCAGACTGACAGGTCTCGGCTATGTCACGTACAGCTTTGCCAAACTCCCAAATGAGTTCATCCGGCAGGTTGACGAGGAGGAGATCAACTTCTGGTTCCTCACAGACCAAGAAGATGGCCTGATCTGGCTCCAGGATGACCCGGGACGCGTCATGTATATGAGCATGAAGGTAAAGGTCAAAGATCGTAGACCATATTTTGGATGAAGTTAATTTTCATTGTGGGGGTGACTTATTGTTATTACGTTGCTGTGAGGCATCTCACGAGCTTACTGATACACCGATTATAGTTGCTGTGGACATGTGCTGGATCCACCATGCAAGGGTTAGATTGTCAGTATTGCCAATTCCTCTTATGCCAATGGATCAACTGGCTTAAATAACAAGTAAAACACACACGAGAAAGTACATTCACAAATTTGTAAAATTTAATTAATATTGGGAAATGCATACGTTAATTAATAATCACAGATTGACATTTTGAAGAAATAAAAACATTTGAAATTTCACGCAGCTTCGTATAAACGCCATGTCAGACTGCCGAAGTCGATACAAGTTCATGACTGCTTGTTGGAATCGTGTCACGGTAGCATGTCGTACAATTTAGAACTTTACCTTGCAAAGTTTTGGGGTTTCTCGTACATTTAAGAGTAATGTGGCAAGAGGGATATTACATTTGAATGCAGTAAGGTAGATTGTTATCTCTTTTCTGCTTTAAACTCTTAATTCAGCCGAAAACACATCACTCTTAACGGGTTAAAGTAAAGATGATATGTTCATGCCTTCACTCATCTTTGTTGCAGGATGGCTACCTCCGATACGTGAACGATCAGGACCCGTATGGTCCACAGGAAGTGATGATCAGACCCCAGAATGGCGTCCGCTTCAATGATTGGTCATGGCACTTTGTCAATATTTCCAGAAAAGGCAGAGACGTAAGTACAGACCATTGCTACATAATGTGAACAGGGGGCACTGATGGCCCAGTCGTCTAAGGCGCCGCGATTCTCTGAGCATAGTTGCGTCCCTTGGGCACGCCAGAGACCTATGATTGTGGGTTCGAATCCCGGTTCGACCCGATTATGTTTCCAGATTTGCCAGCACCAAACGTGGGTTTCACCGAAGTGGTAAAGGTCTGAGACCTGCATCACTTCGGGCTTTCCTCCCACATTAAGCTGACACGCCGTGATATAACTGGAATACTGTTAAAAGCGGCGTTAAGCCCCACTCACTCACTCACTCACTCATAATGTGGGCGGGTGGGGCTGAGAAGCAGTTAAAGCGCTCGCTCGTCACACCCAAGTCCCGGATTCGATTCCCCTCATTAATATTATGTGTGGAGCGCAATTCTGGCGTCGGCCACGGTAATATGATTGTAACATTGATAAATAGAGGCGTAAAGCATACTCTGTCACTCTACGAAATGTAGAAATGAATCTGAAATTTGACAATATCCTTTGGTTTGACAGTTTTCACAGTGGACATTCGTGATTTTGTCTGTCGTGAACCTCGGTTGTGTCGGTATTTACCTATATTCGTTTTCGATTTGTATTTAAAGCTTATTTAGGGGCGGTGGGGCTGCCTAGTTGATAAAGCGTTCGCTCGTCACGCTGAAGACCCGGGTTCCATTCCCCACATGGGTAAAACGCGTGAAGATCATTTCTGGTTTCCCCGCAGTGATATTGCTGGAATATTGTTAAAAGACATGAAAAACCATACTCAATTAAGCCTTTTTAATGTATAATATATACAGTAAACTACGGTTATAACGAACACGCTTATAACGAACTAACGGATATAACGAACTAACTTTTTAGTCCCGACTATATGCTGTGGTTATGCTGTATATATGCTTATAACGAACTACGGTTATAACGAACTAAAATTAGTAGTCCCTTTGAGTTCGTTATAACCGTACTTTACTGTATAAATATTTTTTTTGGTACAGATTGAAATCAAGGTTGACAATAATCACAGAGCTCGTTACACGCTCCCTCAATCCAGTCGGAATCTTCAATTCCTGACTAAGGCGGATGTCTACCTTGGTGGTCACCCAGATCCTACTGACATCACCAGTGGCCTGGTAGAAAGGGGACTTAACGGCGGAATAGCAGAGGTCATCTACCACACGAAAACTCCTGACGAACTCGTCTACGTGAATCTCATCTCACAAGGACGACCGAGCATCCACGGAGCCGGAGTCACCTTTGTGAACGGTACGGTTGGTCCTGGCAGGGTAAGGCCAAGCCGACCCCCACCGACCCTCCCACCACGCACTCCGAGACCCCAAGTCACCCCTCGACCAAGACCCGTCGGACCAGGGCCAATCACGTTCAGGTCATCCAGCGTCCATCTCGAACTGCCCAAAGTCCAGCTCAACAGTGGAACAATCATGTCCTACAAATTCCAGACTATCAAAGAAAGAGGCCTGATGTTGTACACCTACGGGAGTCAGCGGAGACCTGATGCCTTCTTCGCCGTTGAAATGTATGACGGCAAGCTTTACTTCGTATACAACTTCGGTGAATTCGCGCATCGGATACAGTTTTCTGAACGCGACGTATCAGATGGTCAACAACACACGGTTGAAGTCCGCTTTTACAACGACTACATCATCTTGATGCTGGACGGAAAACAGAAGAGGATCGACCTGAACAGCCGAGAGGGACTTCCCATCGCCTTCCAGCGTGCTCTGTATCTCGGGGGGTACACAACGTACAGCAACAACCTCGCCGAAAGCAGTCGTCTCCCTTGGCACATTTGGTCACGGGATGGCTACCAAGGATGTTTGGAGGATTTCCAGATCGATCGCAAGAGAGTAGATCTCCACCAAAACGTCATATCCCAGTACCTGTTCGGCAACGTCGACCGCCAGTGTCTTGCGATGCCCCGAATGTGTCAGCTGAGTCAGTTGCCCTGTGTGCATGGAGTGTGCAGGGACACCTGGGACGGCTATGTATGCGACTGCTCCAACACAGCCTACACCGGCAAGAACTGTGACAGAGGTAACATATATAACGTATTTTTGTTTACCCAAATAAGACCGCCTCTGTGGTCTAGTGGTAGAGTGTTCGCCCAGAGAGCGGAAGGTCCGGGGTTCGATACCGTGCCGCGTCATACCAAAAGACGTTAAGAGATGGTACTTGTTGTTTCCCTGCATGGCGCTCAGCATTAAGGGGCTAAAAGGACTGGTCGGCTTGGAGTCAGTATACTGTATCAGAGAGGGGTATTCATGTTAAACTGCGGCGTGGTATCTCAGTTGGCTGCACTACAAAATCGGCATCCGTCCGGACTAGTACAAGCAGCCACACATGTGCATGCACGTCGTTATATAAGTACAATAGTCTCGACGTTAAACCCCTATGCTGGAGGGCAAAAGAAACCATACCTCCAAGTTGATTTTATCATATCCTTGATTTTCAATTGAGAATATCACAAGTAAGGGATATTGCTTACTCAGCACTCCAAGAGTACAATCTATATAATTTTATTTTTTATGATATAATTTGATTTAGACCACTTCTGATGGGTATCTAAGACAAATTTTCGGCCCAACTTTACAACATTTCAAACATGGTAGGGGTCATGTGGTTGCAAATTCATTTCTAAACTCAATCTTCATTGAACCAATTATATGTACACAAAATTACTCAGCCACAGGAACCTTTTTACAAACTGTCGCACGAATGAGTAATGCTAAATCAAATTTAACATCAGTCCTTTCAGTTTTCAATTACATAAAAAAGTCGGTATTTCTTTTGTCCCTCAGTTTGTATCAGCAATTATATCACTAATTAACTGGGGTTTCAAATCAATCAATCAATCGATCGAACAATTAATCAATAAATCAATCAAATAAATGATCAATCAATCAAATGATCAGTCGGTCAGTCAGTCAAAAAGTTGCTTCTACCGAAAGATCATAGGCCAGTCTTATACTTACGATAGATGATAATTATGATATATAGTTCGTACTAGAATGTATAATTACAGATTCTGTATGTGACAACTGTTCCTTATGTCCATTTGATGGCTTTAACAACTTCCAGGTTTCTTACTCATGATTGCTATTTTTCAGCTGCCCTGGTCGGGTCATTGAACGGTCAGCAGTTCGGCCACCTGCCAGTTCTCTCACTGGGCACCCACACCAATGACCTGTCCCTCCGCTTCAAGACCCCTCTCAGCAACGCCTTCCTATTCCAGACCTATACAGGAGAGTCGGACGAGTACCTCCGGGGAATATTAGAAGATGGGCGTATCAAGGTCACTACAAACCTCGGGGGTGTAGTGAAGGTATGGAATAAACAGCATACGATTTGCGTTTTTTCAGATTTTTGATCGTTTAAGATCAAGGTTGTAATGTAGTATTAAGTCGCGATGGAATACAGGACACAATGCACGAAAAAGGCTGGTTATATGTATTTATTAAATTTCATTTTTATTTGAATTGATTTATGAGAGTGACTAAAAAACTTTATATACATACAGGCATATATTATTTTATTATTGATATTTGTTTAAGTTTATACCCTAAAATCTGCTTTTAACGTGTTGTATTTTCGATACAATTTCACGATACTCGTGTTTTGCTACGCCCTAAGGACAATCCTCGCCATCTTCTCAGGGATAGCAACATGAACTATAACATCACGCATGTGTGTTTGATCAGCTGAGAACTGGTAGGCTAGTAACCTTCAACGATGTTTCTAATGACAGTGAGCTCTGAGGCGTATTTAGTGTAAGGAATTCATTCACAGAGCTCCGTTCGGAGTGAAAGCGCCCATATTAAAGGTTTCTTGGTGACCAAATCATCGTCACGAAGTAACATGTGTAGTCGTAGATGAAGTCATCGTTGAAAGTGTATGGGGTCCCGGAATATCGACGTCCGGACAACATGGTGTTGCGGTCGGAGTGATTAGTTACAGAGTCATTATGAATATGGAAACGGTTTTGTCGTCTTTGTTTTCTGTAAGTGATTTATCCATCCACGGACCCATATTTCACAAGTGTGGAATAAACTTTGAATATGACAAACATGCTTCTTTATGATCGAAACGGACATACAAGGGAAGTAACTCTTTGCCTGTCTTCAAAGAACAAGTTCCAGCAACACCAATTAAATTTATTCAATTCATCATCAAAAGATACCGAGATATTTTTTCGCATATTTCGCATGATTTTCTCTTCAAATTTAACTACCGAAATGGCTAAACACCGCTTTCAGCAGCTTTGCGCTAATGTTTCGGCGGGGACAACAGGAACGCTTACACCTGTAGCGAAGTGAGAAATTTGAACCAGGATCGTCGACGTGACGAGTGGACACTTTAACCACTAGGCTACCCCAACGCCCCGATAATTATGCATAAATAAAAGCGACAAAACCTTTTTATCTAATAATCATAAGAATTATTTGCCACAAGCAAGTTCATTGTACGATTCTATGTAAGCATGTGTTTATGAATAGCTATCAAATACTGATGATACCAGGTATTTGCGGAAAAGAACGGCAACATTGCACATATCGAAGGTTAATCTTAGATAGTATTTGTTGCGAAAACATATATCTACCATAAAATAAAAACCTTCCCACGAATGGTGAACCAGTCTGTGTTAAGTTGAGAAATTGACCGAACACTTTTTCCCTTCAGACATACTACGCTGGTGAAGGTCTGAATGACCTCGATTGGCACAACCTGTACATTCGTCGCCGTGGAAACCAGATAGAACTGTGGGTGGATGATTTCCCATCTCAACTTGGTAAGACGTTGTTAAGAAGTGCGCCCGTGAAGATCCGGGTTAGAATACCTCTTCAGCAACCCATGCTTGCCGTAAAAGGCGGCTATGCTTGTCGTTAGCGGGATCGGATGGTCAGGCTCGCTGACTTGGTTGATGCATGTCATCGTATCCCAAATGCATAGATCGATGCTCATGATGTCGATCACAGGATTGTCGATAATTTACAGACCGCCGTCATTTAGCTGGAATATTGCTGGGGCGTTAAGAACAAACAAACAAACAAATAAACGTTAGTGATTGCATTACTTTCAGGGTATTATTTATAAGCTGTATCAACATGACTCTTTTGATGTTGGAGTCTTTAAATACAGAGTAGATTGTACAGTCAGTAAATGACTATCGCCACACTTCATGTCATTGACCCCGATTAATACATACGCCGCATGCTTCGAGCTGTGTAGGATGAAGATTCTAGTCTAAGGGAGATAACTCGAGTAATACTAGCAGGTGCTATGACCAGTCAAACCCAAACTAAAAGAATCATGGTAAACTACTGCTCATCCCAAATTACTCAATTATTACAGCTCATGTTCCCCGCCACCTTCAGATACTACATGTACATGTCCTCTAGTTTCGTTTGTAAGGTCCTTTTGCTAGCTGATAATATTTAAAGATTTTAAAGGGTATTTGTTGTTTCCTGTTAATTATTGATGAGAATATATGTCACATTTCTGTATGTAAAATTGCAACAACATAAACACTTATCTATTGGGAGGAGAATCCAAAATGATGTGAGAATACACGTAAATCGTTGCAGTTCTGTTCAGTCATAACTTTGACCGCCTCCGTGGTCTTGTGGTAGAGCGTCCACCGGAAACGGAAGAATCTGGGGTTCAATCTTCGGCCGCGTCATACCGAAAGACGTTAGAAGATGATACTTATTGATACCCTGCCTGGCGCTTGGCATTAAGATCCTAAATAGGGACTGGTGGGCTCGGAGTCAGTATACTGTGTCTGAGTGGGGTATTAATGTTAACTGCGGCATGGTATCTCAGTGGGCTAGCACAATGCTCGTCGTAAGAGGTGACTGACGGGATCGGGTGGTAAGGCTCGCTGACTTGCTGGTGCATGTCATTGATCCCAATTGCGTGGATCGATGCTCATGATATCAATCACGGGATTGTCTGGACCAGACTCGGCTATTTACAGACCGCCGTCATGCAGGGATACTGAGTGCGGAGTTAAACAACAAACAAACAAATCAGTGGTCTAGGATTACAAAAACAGCATCAGTCCGGACTAGAACAAGCAGCGACACACACACGTGCATGCACGTCGCTATGTAAGTGCAGTAATCCTGGACGCGACGTTAAACCCAATTTCTCCTCACCTTAGTCATAATTTTGCTGATCACTTTGGGAGTAGAACTGTCCTGATTTTAACCGACTATTCATTTTTATCAGCAGTCGACTCGAAAACAGTCATTAATTACATATGAACCTTTATATTTCAGGTAATCTCAATGGCGAGAATTTCTTCTTCGATATTGAGCGTATATATCTGGGAAGCCTGAAGGGTTCTGACGTCAATGTCAAGAATTTCCAGAACTATATCGGATATATGCAGAATTTCCGCATCAATGAAATAGACGTTCTGAATGAGCTTCAGAGGATGGGAGCCGGCACTGTGAACTTCACCATCTCCACCATCCCACAACTTCCTCCCCTCATCTACCACCCTGTTACCATCACATCTCGCAACACGTACGTCCAGCTCGAGACTCTACGAGTTCCCCCGAGAATGGTGCTCTCCTTTATGTTCAAGACCCAAGAGTCGAGCGGAGTAATTTTATTCAATGGCGGAGTTAACAGAGAATTCATCGCACTGGAGCTTTATAACGGATATCTCCATTTCTCCTTCAACACAAGCGATAGCGCCCCGGCCTTAAGGATAAGCACTCCCCAGTCTCTTAACGATAATAAATGGCATCAAGTCATTCTTCGACGCAATGAAGACGGTAAGAGTTTTACCGTATCAGTGGATGAGTACACGTCAACGCTTGAGAGTGAGACAACGGACGGGCGACTTGATCTACAGGGCCCTCTCTACATCGGCGGTTTGCCAAAGAGTATGTTCTCACAGGAATACGTAAAGAAGGCACTCCTTTCCAAGAGTGGGTTTCAGGGATGTCTGGCTTCCATTGACATGAGTGGTGCTGTTCCCGACCTTCTGAAGTATTCTAGGGGGAACCCCAACGTCATATCAGGCTGTACTGGTAAGTGTCGTCACAGTGATACCCCATAAACTCCAACTCCAGTAACTCGAACATCCTTAACTTGAACGTCTGTAGCTCGATGGTCTGTAACTCGAACGTCTGTACCTCGAACATTTGTAACCCGAACGTCTGTAACTCGATAGTCTGTAACTCGAACCTCAATCTCTCGATGTATGCAAGATGTTACCTCGTTTCTCGACCAACATTTTAAAATATCCTTTGTCAATACCTGTCTTCTCTTGAATGCTTGACTGTTCGAAAGGTATTTGATGATGTGAGAACTCTAAGTGCAGCGAAACTTCGTTTATTCGAGCTATGTTAACACTATATAACTCTTAGATTTGGCAAAGTGGCTTAATATCAGCGTTGTCTCGAACTATTAACGCTGCCACTGCATAGCTACACACATGGAATTTTAAGCTATAATTCATATTGACGGGCGTAGGGGTAGCAATGTCAGAAGATTGTGTCTAGTTGTGTGTGTACATTGTCGTTCCAGATGTTATAAATGAAGTTTGTCTTGTCGACTCTTGTAAGAACTTTGGTACCTGTGTGCCGACTGGTGACCGTTATTTCTGCGACTGCAACATGACGTCTTACATTGGAACTATCTGTACAGAAGGTATGTTATTGGAAGTCTGCTGTCCAAATGTAAACGTAAACACGTATTTTAATACTGATTGCGATGATCCTGGCACAGCCAGGCTGGTTGGGCTCATCAGCTATTATTATTATTATTATTACTGTTGTTATTATTATTATTATTATTATTATTGGGCTCATCAGCTATTATTATTATTATTATTATTTGAAATAGGTAAATTATATTCCATCTGTTTCTAGAACAACTTTTCTTTTACAAAAGTAAAGCTCTACTGTAAGGTGAGTTAATGCTACGAAAATACATTGACCCCTTTGCTGTTGTTTAAACATAAACATAAACAGGGCGATAGTCTTTTCCTGTTAAGAAGAATTTGTTTTACATATTATTTGTCTGTTGTTTCAGAGGCCACTGGATTCCGATTCATGGAACAAAACAAAGTTGGTATTCTGGTGTACACCTACCCTCCGTTAGAGCGCCCCAGCACAATGCACGACGACATAGCGCTCGGTTTCATGACGTATGAGAAGGATGGTGTCCTTATGCGAGTGAAGAGTCAGTACCTGGATGATTTTATTGAGCTGCGATTGGTAAGTTTCTGAACCGAATCAACAATATTGTAGCGATATTGACTGTGTGGACATATAATACAAACAAACAAACAATCAGAGCGATAAATACTTTTGTAATTTGCTTGAGAAACATGAAACCTCTATTGTGTATGGATGTTACAACCGCCTCTGTGACCTGACAGAAAGAGCGTCTTCCCGGAGAGCGGAAAGTCGGCGGTTCGATCTCAAGGATGGTACTTGTTACCCTTCCTGGAACTCCGCATAAAGGGGACAAAACAAGGACTGAACGGCTGGGAGTCAGTATACTGTGTCTGAGTGACCATTGACAAATTGATTGAATTCGTGGAATATTTCATAGCATCTGAAGCCAATCAGAGTGAGGTGTGAGGAGAAATCGGGTTTAACGTCGCGTCCAAGATTATTGCACTTATATGGCGACGTGCATGTACGTGTGTGTGTTTGTGTGGCTGCTTGTACTAGTCCGGACTGATGCCGATTTATAGTGCTAGCACACTGAGATACCATGCCGCAGTATAACATGAATACCCCAGTCAGACACAGTATACTGACTCCGAGCCTACCAGTCCTTGTTTTAGCCCCTTAATGCCGAGCGCCAGACAGGGTAACAACAAGTACCATCTTTTAACGTCTTTTGGTATGACGCGGTCGGGGATCGAACCCCGGACCTTCCGCTCTCCGGGCAGACGCTCTACCACTAGACCACGGAAGCGGTCCCAATCAGATTGAAAGAATGGTTGTTAATTTATGCCCCCTTTTGCAATATCTTGTATCAGGGGACGCCAGGAATAGGATTCACACGTTCTACCCATGTGAGGAATCCATCATGGACCAACCACCTCTTCAATAAATGCACATATTTTGTTTGAATATTTAAAATTTAATGATAATTGACATTGCATATTGATGAGAAATGTCACTGATGGAGATTTTCATTCCCTTTATAGGACGATGGGTACGTTGTGGCCGACTACTTAACAGACATTAACGGAAATCCTCAGCGAATTGTTCAATCAACCAAGAGGGTCAATGACGGGAAGTATCACCAGGTTCGCTTCTTCAGAAACAGCAACAACGCTACCTTGTTCGTTGACACTTTGCCTGGAAAGATCCTCCTGCATCCAAGTACGTTCTGTATGGAGTGAGTGAGTGAGTGAGTGAACAGTGTACAACGCCGTTGTTAGCAACATTCCAGCTATATCACGGCGTTTAGTAAATGATCATTCAGTCAAACCAGACGCCTTATGCATACGATGAACATCAGCTAATACAACAGAATCTGCCCGCATCCAGGTCACCTCTTACGTGCAATATAGTCCTGGGGACCTTTTTTGTACTGGTCTTATGTAATTCAATTCTCAAACGAATCTTCCCATCACAGTTATTGAATTAACGTCGAAATGCATGTAAGTATTTAATTGTCTTGGCACTAAACGACCGCCTCCGTGGTCTAGTGGTCTAGCGTCCGCCCGGAGAGCGAAAGGTCCGGGGTTCGATCCCCGACCGCGTCATACAAAAAGACGTTAAAAGTTGGTACTTGTTGTTACCCTGTCTGGCGCTCGGCATTAAGGGGCTAAAACAAGGACTGGTAGGCTCGGAGTCAGTATACTGTGTCTGACTGGGGTATACATGTTAAACTGCGGCATGGTATCTCAGTGAGCTAGCACTATAAATCGGCATCAGTCCGGGCTAGTACAAGCAGCCACACAAACACACACACGTACATGCACGTCGCTATATAAGTGCAATAATCTTGGACGCGACGTTAAACCCCATTTCACCTCACGTCACCTTGGCACTTAACAGAGGATTACAGCTGTTTTCAACAAAAACTTACTTTTTATGGAAATTGTGTGAGAAATTGTGCAAGTGCCACCGATAGGGCAGGACATGCTTACCCTTGGTGTGAACTCATGGTGTCATCACTGATTTTCAATGATCCATTCAAGTAATATTAACAGCTTTTTTTCCTTTTACACTCAATGAAATCTGTTTCGGTGGATAATCGAGACTGGTGTTGAGCATACATTTTTCAACTCATGTCAAATCGCCATCTCAAGTTTTCTCCACCAAGCATGTTTTGTTCAACGTGTTTGTATTTTTCAGCTCGACATGGCCTATTCGATAGACAAGGGACCATCTATGTTGGCGGTTTTCAGGAGAAAGGGATAACCCAGGGGGCATTCAATGGCATCATCGCTGGTGAGATGACACTGCACATTTTGTCTGCACTCTAAAACATAAACATCTTCTATCTTCTTCACATTTTTTTACAAATATTTTTTATTAGATGTTCTTCACATTTGTGTATTGTCTATTAGACCATTATCCAAAAAAATGTAAAAAAAATATCTTCTTTACATTAGTCTGGATAATAGTCACACGGAGGAAGTAATGAACTAAAGGACGTTTTTACGTAATAATGAATTGCAACTTCATGATGTATATATACAGTAAACTACGTTTATAACGAACATGCTTATAACGAAATGGTGGATATAACGAACTGTTCTTTTGGTCCCGGTCATTTGCTGTATATATGTTTATAACGAACTACGGTTATAACAAACTAAAATTTGTGGTCCCTTTGAGTTCTTTATAACCGTAGTTTACTGTACTGAATAACAAAGTTAGGTATCATGAATTTTTTCGGGGATATTATATTTGTTAGTGAAGAGGTGTTTTTAAAAATGTGTACGGTTTATACAAAATATGTCATCCCTAACTTTGTGTTTTCAGTATTTTACCCCAAACCACCGATGCATATTGATTACCAAAATTTCATTTGTATCCAGGTGTCCATATCAATGGCTTGCACGTTTTGGATAAAGCTGTAAATAAGCAGAGCACCCTCTGGTCTGGAGATGTTGTTGAAGCACCAAAGCCATTTACGTTGACTTTCACGTAAGTGTGATATGGAGGGAGTGACTACTATATACTCGTCTATGAATGTATTTCAATTAGTTCACCGCTCGTCAACTTGATGTGAAATGAAAGCCCAATGTTACACGTCCCTTAAGCACGTTAAGCATTATTGTCCATTATGTGTGAAGCCAGTTTTCTGCAACCCCCCCCCCCCCCCCCCTCCCGCCGTGATTTTGCTGTAATATTGCTAAATGCGGCGTAAAACCAATCTCAATCTCATATTATTATTATTATTATTATTATTATTATTATTTATGTTTCAGTGCCACACCAAAACCCCCCACCTGGGTCACGCCTTTGAACCCCGTAATTCCACCAGGTGGAGGAGTGACACCCAGTCCGCCAGTAACGGGCGTGGTTGTACCACCTGGCACTGGAGGTGGTGGTGCAGGGTGGATTGGCGGCGGAGCAGGCGGAGCAGGCGGAGCAGGCGGTGCAGGCGGTGCAGGCGGCGGGGGCACGGGAGTCGGCATTGGTGTTCTTCCATCAGGAACAGGAGGGTCCGGAGTGATGACAGGACCTCTCGCTCAGCCTGTGGCAGCGGCGGCAATAGCTGCCCCTCCTGTTCTGGCCGCGGGAGGACCCAGGGCAGGAGTCGTTGTTGGAACAGTTCTTGGAATCCTGGCTTTGATGAGCAGTTTGATGTGGGCTTTCTATAGATGCAAGCCGGGCTTCTGTGGTGGCTGTGCAGGGCCCGCTTCTGCTAGTCCGATAACCATATCCCCACCAAGACCTGGAAACAACCTTGGCGTTGTCCAAGCCCTGAGCGGATCAGGTGCTGGCGCAGGTGCAGGAGCAGGTGCTGGCGGTGGAGGGGTCAAGATTGTCAATGGTTCACCATCCCATGGAGGGGGTGGTGGTTCCAGTGCAGCCTTCTCTAACTATTTCGCCTCTTCCTCCCAATCAGGAGGAGGAGGAGGTGGAGGTGGAGGTGGAGGAAGCGCAGGTTACGATTCCGCAACTCTTAGAGCCACTAAAACATTCACAAGTTCAGGAACAACAATTGGGACACCGAAACCTGCCAGAGCAAATCTCGGATCAACCAACTCAGCAGCCAGTGGCTATGGATACAATCAAAACACAATGGGTCGGTCTGTAGTAGATGGCGCCACCAACGTTCATGGAGGAACCTCAGTTTCATCTTACAATTATGAAGGCACGGCTGATTATGACATGGCACCCGGAATAAGCGGATCGGCAGCAAACTACCAAAGCAATACCATGGGCCATGCTGGATACTCCACCTCGACCATGTCATCCAATTTTAACTACCATGTACAAAATGTAAGAACAGTAACTGGACAGCAACAAGCACTAGGATACGGGTCATCAAATTTTGTTGCGGCACCTGGCGCCATGGGGGAAGAAGTGAGGGTTGACTGTTGTCTTATTACTGCTGATGGGCGGAGTGTAGTCACAGGATCCAGCTTGGGGCCACCTCAGGTCTGGGATATGCAGGTAACTAATATTTAATTACATCCACCCGATTGTAATAGCTATTGCCACATATAATTCGTTGATTCTTGCAAATAAGAACAAAAACAGTCTTTCTGTAATCAAAAATATATAAAACGCCGGAGAGTAATCAGCCTCGATTATCTGTAGAAACAGATTCCATTGACGTTGAGGTAAAATTGGGGCGAAAATTATATGAATGGATCATTGAAAACCAGTGATGACACTATATGTTCATGAACCTTGTACATAGACTTGTCGCTAACTATTAAAGAGGGACTTTGCTCCAGGAAATGTTGGCCACTTTGTGTCTAGCATTAGAGGTTATGACTGGTGTCATTATGATGCTTGAAGGCCTGAATTAACACTGAGAAATAATTAACTGTTCGATTGGCGTGAAAATAACGGTGAATGATACATGCTGCACGTTATTCATGTGATCTGCCCAGCACACATGTATTCATCATGACAGATTACATCATTAGAAGCGGGTGAAATTCGAAACGTGAACGCCGGAGAAAAATCGCGAAACAGATTCCATAGGCAGTAAAAGGCAAAATAGGGATGAATCTTATATGAAAGTATCACTAAATAAGTAATACTCTGAGTTAGCGAAAAGGATCATGTAGCGGTAGCACCGGCCACTCACATAATTTTCATTAATAATAGAAGTACCAGTTAGCGATGGAGGAGGTGTGGAACTAATTTTAGTTACTGGTTGTTTGTGATACTTGTATATAGGCAAAAATTAAAATTAAAAATATATTATTGTCTCTGTGAAATTAGTATTAGTATTAGCTGCAAGACTGATGTACTCAAATTAATTAAGTTTAGCAATCAGTTGTCTGAATTGGTTTATATCAAATTTGCTAGGATTATCAACTGGCTCAAACCTAGTGCTCTTTAACCATTTTGGCCCAAAGAAATAGTATTATCTGGCGTGAATAGGTTCTGACCATTTTCAGTAGTTTAAATACACCTTAAGTGACGATTCGCGTCATTCAAGAGTTTAACATGAATGTCTATGCACATGAAGATAATTAAACCTTGTTACTCCGGACACCTACTTTCTAAAAGTGTATGGTAGGGAAAGAACTCTCATGGTGGGTTTCTCCATTATTCGGACACCCTTTACTCCGGACGGTTGAGCAATAGGAGCAATGACTGGTTTCTGTCAGGTTTTCCGTGACACTCACTAATCCATCAAGTGCTATTGTTTTGTTCCAGAGTGGTGAATTACTTCGAATAATGAAAGGAGATACTCTAGGCTCGACTAACTTACACTTGGCCTGCAACGACAAACTGCTGGTGGGGGCCGTGAACGCTGACTTAGAAATCAACAACTTCTCCACAGGCAAGGGGGTCACGAATAGGATGCTACAGGTGAGGTTCGGAGGGTCCCACTCCAAATGTACATTGTTTCACTGGACGGCTGCACTGGGGCTTGTACGTGTGCCTTATACAGTGAATAGAGAAACGGCCACACTTAATAGTATGAGGGAGCAATACGAATAGTGCCATGTGTATGTTTGTAGCGTGTCAGTATAATCTCAGTATCAAAGACTGGTTATTCTCAAGTTTTTTGTCTTGCCCATATGTAATCTTGCAGTGCATTTTGTAACAGTCAATATATCGTTCATATATCTGGTAGTCTTGAGGTGATGGGGGGCGGTGGGGGTAGCCTGGTGGTTAAAGCGTTCGCTTGTCATGCCGAAGACCCGGGTTCGATTCCCGACATGGGTGCAATGTGTGAAGCCCATTTCTGGTGTCCCCTGCTGTGATGTTGCTGGAATAAAGCTAAAAGCGGAGTGAAACAATACTCACTCACTTACTTGGGATTATAGTGTGGTTGTGCCTATTTAGATTCACTGTTTCATGATATCAAGAGCATTCACACATATTTATGCACACACAACAAGCAGGGGGTGTTTTGTGAGTCACTAACTTCTATTGTCCTTCAATCCAGATCTGGGACTTTAGTTCCGGTCGCCCTCTGGAGATGGCGGAACACGAATACTGCTCAGCGTTGTGCGTCATGGGTGACGGAGACAAAGTTGTTTTCGGCCGCACAGACAAGTACGGTTCTGGAACAGAGGTGATTCTCTGGGATCTCATGGGCAACCAACCCATAAAACATATGAGATATGATTGCCCAATTGGAAATAATGACTTTGTCAATTACCTAAACCTATCTCAGAACAATCGGTACGTGGTAGTAGGCTTTACCAATACTTTCGACAATTTCGCCGAATATGTTGTGTTTGATATGACAATCACCAGCTATAATGTAATGGAACCAAGCTGCCGCCGTCTCGACGCCAACCCTGACTGCACGGCTGTTTTGCCTCGTGACGAAGCTGTTACTGGATTGCGTAATGGTGACCTGGTTATCTGGAGCTTGCGTACTGGTGAAGCCAGCCGTCAGTTGGTTTCCGGTGCAAGTGCGCATGCTCACAGCCGTGAGGTGAAGGCCGTTGCAGTGTCTGATGACAACAGGTACCTGGTGTCGGCTTCTGCTGATGGCACGCTGAAGGTGTGGGATATGACAACCGAGAGACAGATTCACACTCTGGCTGGACACTCTGATGAGGTGGGTACATGGTAGCTAAGAACAGTCCTTGAGTTGACATGTCAGCCTGATGGGTGTGAGTGTGTGTTAGTGTGATTACTGAAGGGATGCAAGTCTTATGAATCCCACGAGCACGGTGTCAGACCAAGAAACATCATTAGGGCTAACCGTAGTGGTATTCCATGACCATACGTTTCTGGCAGGTCTAAGGGACGCAACTCTGCACAGCGAGTAGCGGCGCCTTAAGCGACCATTCCCCATGAACACTGAGGGTCACTAGACCCGTGAAGATCCGGGGTAGAGTAGGTCTTCAGCAACCCATGCTTGTCGTAAGAGGCTACTAACGGGATCGGGTGGTCAGGCTCGCTGACTTGGTTGCTGCATGTCTTTCATGATGTCTTGATTATCTGGTCCAGACTCCAATATTTACAGACCGCCGTGATATAGCTGGAATAATGTCGAGAGCGCCGTTTAAGAACAAACATCGCTAGCTACAAACATTCTTCATAAAGAACTAAGTGATTTAACTAATTTATAGATACTTCGTAGATACACTTTTGGAATAATGTGGCATACATGTATGCTTGGAAATAGTGCCTAATTATTGCAGTATTGTGTGTAATACATGTTGTAAAAGTGAAATGAAGAGTATGACTTGGCAACGCTTTTTATTATACCAGAGACCGCCTCCGTGGTCTAGTGGTAGAGCGTCCGCCCGGAGAGCGGAAGGTCAAGGGTTCGATCCCTGGCTGCGTCATACCAAAAGACGTTAAAAGATGGTACTTGTTGTTACCCTGTCTGGCGCTCGGCATTAAGGGGCAAAAACAAGGACGGGTCGGCTCGGAGTCAGTATACTGTATCTGAGTGGGGTATTCATGTTAAACTGCAAGCACTATAAATCGGCATCAGTCCGGACCAGCACAAGCAGCCACACACACATGTGCATGCACGTCCTTATATAAGTGCTATATAAGTAATCTTGGACGCGAAAACCCTATTTCACCACACCTATTATACCAGAACCAAGCGGATCAGTGATGTTAATGCTACAGTCAATTCCAAAGGACTGTTAATATCTGCTCGATATAGCCATGCCCATCATTTAATGAAAAACAGCATTTGTTACAACACCGATAGGATTATGAATGCTTTCGTTGGATAGACCATTTGCAGTAACCGAGTTCGACACACCGGATTAGACTTAATGTACAATTTCACTCACTTCTCCTTTGACAGGTATGGTGTGTAGCGATCTCCCCCGACTCCGAGATCGCCGTGTCCGGATCACGTGATGGAACCATCCGTCTGTGGCGTCTCAAGAACGGATCAGAAATCTGCGCGTTCAGCGCCGGCGTGGACGTATTCCACGTCACCATGAGCCATGACAAGAGTACTATTGTTGCTCTGGGAGACAAATATGGCGCCAGGAAGTTGATCATGTTGCAGGTCGTGCGCAGCAAGATTCGACGACAGCTGAGTTCTTAAGTACTTCTGTCTAGAAACCACGAGTTGCCTCCCTTATCTCCTGTGGCTGCAGTAATCTCACGTGCAATGTATTTATTCAACAACCGTTATGCTGCTTTTAATGATACCGTGTAATGCGATTTAATGTAAATTTATTATTACTACATCTGGAAAGCCAAAAATATGTACGTATTCCTATATCACCAGATATGATACAACGATCTCATTATAGTTCATACCTTTGTATATGTATATATTTTGAAAGGCAATTTAATTGTTTGTTTTTAAAAAACAACCTCTAAGCTATTGATTTGAAATTCTAGGCTAAAATTTTAACACTGAATAGAGTAACGACGTTTCTGAACATAGACATGTTTTATTTAGGTTTGGATATCGGTAATATGAAATTTCAACTTTAGATGGAAAAAAACTAGAACGTCTGTAGATTATTTAAAACAACGCTGCCCTACCCTTACTTTCAGTCCTATTCGTTTACTTATATCTTTTAAGTGAAGTATGTATAACTATACCTGGGTTCTGGGATATGTGCATGCGTCTATACGCACGTGCACTGAGCTCAAAGTGCATTCTTGCCATACGCCCTATTCCATATTATCTCGATAAACATTCAGAGTGAGAGAGGGAGCCGGAAGAAATTAACAAGCATAATTGTGTCGAGTCATTAAGTACCTACGCACGATTCTCTTCAAACTGAAGAGAAAATGGAAAATACTCGTCATGTATAATTGTCATAATATACCAACGATTCATAAAATTCTGAAGTCCAAAAATCAAAGATCAACGATCATGAAGTGAGTCACTTCCGGTTAAAGCGGAAGTATGTAACCGGTAGTGCGTACTATGAATCTCTAAAAGAACTATTTTGTGATACGTTTACGTGTTTGATGGTGCTACCGTTCATGTATCCTTCCAATAGTGCCTAGATAGTGCATAACAAATCACCACGAAGTCTTATAACCCGACAGATAGTTGTGAAACACTTAGTAATGCTCTATGTCTTGAATGTATTGTTCTGTAAGATGCTGTTAAATCTTTGAACTTTTTATTTGTATTTTCATGCAGTTTAATATATTCTTTTTACATGTATATGTGTATTTCTGAAGTACGCCTACCATTATTTGAAATATCTTGTGATTGTATGGCATAACACATTAGAAACAAAAAAGTTTGTATGATTAAAATTAAGGCTTGTTTATATACGTACTGTGTTTTGTTGTATTTAGTAATGCGATGGGATTTCTCAGTCATGTTCGCTCAATGACCTAGTTTGATACTGGCCAGTTGGAGTAATACGCCGCCATCCAATGTACACAGTTGCATCCCGTAGATCTACCAGGATCCGCTTGTGGGTTCGAATCCTAGATTTGCCCTGATTACTATTATTGGTTTGCTGCCTCGCATGTGCTCATGAATCGCTCATGATAACAGTCGGAATCTTACAATGGCCTCTGCTTTATGCAGAAAGTTCTTATGATTATGGAAAAGGTGTTTTCGTTTTACGTCTACAATATGTGTCACTTTAGACTTTTCTTTTACATTAAGCTGACACACCGTGTGCCTTCATTACTGTAACAGCCACAAAACAATACTGTGGGTTTGTTTGTGAGCTGGTTCAACACAATTTTCCAATATTGCACAACATGTTGAGGTCTATGAGAAGGATCAAACCCGGGGATTCAGCTGGAGTAATGAATGTTTCATCCACAAAACTGCTCCACCGAAATAGGGCGCTGAATGTGAACAGCAATGAAGGTGGAGCTGAACTTTAAGTGCGGCTGTGGTGAAAGTTAGCGAAGGTATTACATGTGGATATTCAGACTTATACGTCTCTTACCTCCTGCATCGCTTGTGGACCAACGGTCACAGGACAAAGGTCATTGGACACTAGGTGTTTGCGAACATATGGGCATGGACTAGTGCTGAGTTTTTGCACTCATCTTGGTACTTGGATACCTCTACAGTTGACATTTTCAAGGTACAACCAGAAATAGGCTTCACACATTGTACCCATGTGGGGAATCGAACCCAGGCCGAACACTTTGGCCACAAGGCACGAGCACGGTGCTGTACTGACAAAGGAACATAATTGAGTCAAATCTTGCATGGGAACCCATGATCTGCAAATGCTGACACGTCTAAGGGACACAACTCCGCACAACGCGTTACACCATTGGCTAATCCCTACCCCTGGGATTTGCAAATACACGAAGCTTCTGACTGATCTGTCCCTGAACCACATCAATTGATAGAAGCGTCTGTAAAATATAATTCCTAAGCAGAAATGCAAATTGTCTCAACACTGGTGCGACCCTATAACAGTCATGGATAATATGCGTCCGTACTGAGCCATCTGAGTTTTCTTGATGGAGCCTGTCAGGTGTTTTATACCAGGTTTATATATTAACATTACCTAATTGGCGACTGTTTCGTGACGACTAAACCATAATCACCCGTTTTTGTCAGGCTGTTTTCAAAGAAAGGCATTTCGAGTATAACCTTCAAATGGACTGCAAGATGATCAACATGACAGATATTGGATTTCAAAGTTAATCACTTAATCACTCATTCATAATTATAAAGCATTACATAAATACATAAATGCGAAAAAGACCAAAATTATAACATTGAAAAATTCATGCATGGGTGCAATAATGCCTCATTTGAAAACAAATTGTCTTTACTACATATTTAGGGTTGGGTGAGTGAGTTCGAGTTTACGCCGCTTTTAGCAATATTCCAGCAATATCACGGCGGGGGACAACAGAAATGGGCTTCACACATTGTACCCATGTCGGGAATCGAACCCGGGTCTTCGGCGTGACGAGCTCTCGCTTTAACCACAAGGCTACCCGACCGCCCACTACATATTTAGAAACATAAAAAAATAACATTATCTTCTATATGTATATATATATATTCCACTCCTATTCACATTCTCATCATCTTACTTTTTATACTGTGTTTTATCGCCTACTTCTATTTCAAATGCTTGAAAAATCCCCACTACCCCCAGGTCACGTGTGGATGTAGGGGTTTCATGTTAATCGTGGTTATTTTCTGTAATAAAAAGAAAGTTAAAAAAGGAGAAAAGAAAGAAAAAATCAAACTAGTTTCGTGGCTTAAAGTGTAGACTGACATTTAGTCCTAGAAATAAAGTTATCTTGTTTAAAAATATATATCTACAAAATAAAAATAATAAAATCTAAATGGAGCCCTTAACAATCCTTAATTTCGAGCAAGAACATCCTAGACTTGAGTTGGACACCTTTTCAACTTTCTTCTCTTGGGCCTAGGAGAGAGACTACTTAAAGTGTATCCGACATGGATGGAAAAAAAATGTTAATCCATATCAATGAACATTAGGGTGTCATATACCAAAAAGGATTTTAAAATGTTATTTATCATGTTCAATGGCATGACAAGGCACAAAAAACAAATGTACATGTATGAATATTGTTGCATGTTCATATTTTGACCCTTAAACATAAACACGTGCTGTCAAAAGGGCATGATATTATTCAAATATGGCCAATAAGTTTCGTGAACTGAATTCCTTTTATATGTCCAGTTTTGTATAAATATGAAACGTTAACACACGAGAATAACCATCCTCAAAACGGTCGCCGAAACTCTGCAAACCTAAGGCCCAGAACATAGCTATGATATCCCTATCAAATACATCACCATCGAATAACCATGTATTTCTTGTTTCATTTTCGGGTTCGATCCCGGGCCGCGTCATACAAAAAGACGTTAAAAGATTGTACTTGTTGTTACCATGTCTGGCGCTCGGCATTAAGGGGCTAAAACAAGAACTGGTCGGCTCGGAGTCAGTATACTGTGTCTGAGTGGGGTATTCATGTTAAACTGCGGCATGGTATCTCAGTGAGCTAGCACTATAAATCGGCATTAGTCCGGACTAGTACAAGCAGCCACACACACACATACACGTGCATGCACGTCGCTATATAAGTGCGATAATCTTGGACGCGACGTTAAACCCAATTTCACCTCACCTCACCTTGTTTCATTTTCAAATTTAACCACCATCAAACATGGGTGTATGCTTTCTTTTGCCGGCAGTTTACATGTATATATGCCTAAGTAGATCGGCACCTTGAACAGTCCAAATAAATCAATCGATATTATAACATGATACACTTATTATGGAGCCGCGATGGTAATAAACGAATTGAAACAAAATTGAATCATGCTTTTCAGTTTTTTACGTTCTACGCACATTGTTGTCGTGATTTGAATGATTTCAAACAAATCATAGCGGAGACTGAGCCGGTCATTGCTCATGTTACACTGTGGTTACCATGGAGAAAACGACAATATGTCTCTGTATAAACTACGTAACGAATGCCTGTCAAGACTAATACATTGTTAAGAACATTCTCAAATAATAACAATCATTCGATGACTTAAGTATTTAGAGAAAGATGTGATACCAATTATTCGATGGCTTAGATATTTTGAGAAAAAAAGTAAAAATAATTAATCAGTGACTCAGATATTTAGAGAAGTAATACCAAATATTCGATGATTTAAATATTTAGAAAAAGTGAAAACAGTTATTCGATGGTTTAGATATTTAGAGCAAAAGATAAAAACAGTTATTCCATGACTTAGATATTAAGAGAAAACACTAAAAAGCAAGTAGTGGATTATTTAGATCTTCAAAGAAAACAGTAAAAACAATCATTTAATGACTTCGATATTTAGGGGAAATGTAAAATCAGTTGTTCAATGCCTCAGATATTTAGAGAAAACAGTGAAAACAATTATTCAGTGACTTAGATATTTAGAGAAGTAAAAACAAGTATTCAATGCCTCAGATATTTAGAAGAAACAGTAAAAACAATTATTCAGTGACTTAGATATTTAGAGAAGTAAAAACAATTATTCAATGCCTCATATATTTAGAGAAAACAGTAAAAACAATTATTCAGTGACTTAGATATTTTGAGAAGTAAAACAATTATTCAATGCCTCAGATATTTAGAGGAAACATTAAAAACAATTATTCAGTGACTTAGATATTTAGAGAAGAAGTAAACACAACTATTCAGTGCCTCTGATATTTAGAGGAAACAGTAAAAACAATTATTCAGTGACTTAGATATTTAGAGAAGAAGTAAAAACAACTATTCAGTGCCTCAGATATTTAGAGGAAACAGTAAAAACAATTATTCAGTGACTTAGATATTTAGAGAAAACAGTAAAAACAATTATTCAGTGCCTCAGATATTTAGAGGAAACAGTAAAAACAATTATTCAGTGACTTAGATATTTAGAGAAGAAGTACAAACAATTATTCAATGCCTCAGATATTTAGAGAAAACAGTAAAATAAAATATTAGATGACTTAGATATTTAGAGAGGAAAAGTCAAACATACAGCCCGAACCGACATGTAATATATTCATTTCTTTTTTTCTTGTCTCCTCACTCAGCCTTTTATATACCTATTGTTATTATTATTTTCATTTATTGTAATAAACACCATCTACCAAATGCAAGAAGATGCATGTCTGTTCAAAAATGCGATTTCATCATTAAGTATATATGTTGTTATGATCTCATGATATAGGGTATATAGTTGGTTCAGGGGCGATGGGTAGCCTAGTGGATAAAGCGTCCGTTCATCATTTCAAAACCAGGGTTCGATTCTCCTCACTGGTGTAATGTGTAAAATTCATTCATGGTATTCCTCGCTGTGATAAGGCTTTGATACTGTAAGAAGAATAAAAACTCTCCTCAATCAGATATTTCGTTACTCTCATGAAGATCCGGGTTATAAATTGTCTTCAGCAACCCATGTTTGTCGTAAGGGGCGACTAAGGATCGTGTGGTCAGGCTCTCCAAAATGCGTAGATCGATCTCATAATTCCAGTCGATTATTTACTGATCGCCGTAATATAGCTCGAATATTGCTGAGTGAGGCGTTAAACAAATTGTAAACAAACAAAAACTCATTTCGTTAACCATGCGTTATCAACACGTGCCTACACACGAAGGTTATATTATACAACTCCCAAATTACTTTTAGGACAAATCACAAGAATATGGCCTTTTTCTTTCATTCCTTTTTCACACAAGGGTCATACTAAGTAGATCATTTGTAAAACCTTGTCTGACTTTCACATAAGACACATCTCACTTATATACATACCAATAAAATGTAGAAAACAAAG